ATAATTTGATATCTCTTTATATACTATATAGACGATGGTATCATATGATAATAAATATAAAGCATATAGGCTAAGTGTTATTTTTTTATGTTTATTTATATTTTTATTAATATTATAATGATGTAACTTTTTTAAAAAATATAATACCTCATAATTTTATCTGTGATAATTATTGGTTAGATATATAGGGGGGGAAAAAAGATTGATCAAATACAACATTGATATTATCTCTGTTCACAAACTCAGTTTATTGATATTTTAGAGACTTCTTATATCTTAAGTTTAGACTTATTTATATTAGTTGAATTTTTAGTTTTGGACAGGTGATAGAAAAAATTGTTTAGTCTCAATAATTATAACAGCTCTGCGTTTATGGTTGTTTACGAACTAAATTTTTGTTTTGGTTTACGAACTTTTAATACAATATATTGATAGTCTAAACACATCATACTTTTTATACACCTCTAAACACATCAGATAAATATTTAAATCGGCTAATATTAAACTCCATAGAATAATATAATATAACTCGATTAATTAAAAAAAATGACGCGGGAAACAAAAGCATCTCATGGCTAAAAAACTATAATAATCAAACTTAACTAATTAAGTCAAACATTATATGTCTCTCATTCTTATTTATTTATTTTTAGTTCTTTCATCTCTATTTCTTTAATATAGACAAATATATAGTAATTAATTAGTCTTTTTCACATTATGTTCTTCCAACGGGCTATTGTTCTTCTAAATTTTTGTTACACTTACACAATGTACATAAACAACAAAATAATATTCAAAATCCACGAGATACATATATAGTTGATTAATTGACGATATGCAAGTGGTAGATGAACAAGTAATAGATGGAGTGCTAGAGATGACATTAATAAGACCTATAAGGAAAAAGAAGACTAATTATTTTGAGTAATTATATTATGTATTGAGTTGATTTCGTAAATGTGATCTACTAAAGTATTGACGATCAATGATTTAATCTTGTTCTAACAAATCATGAAACGTGACTATTTTAAAAAGTGGCAATGCTACGAAAGCAAGGTTGAAATTAATTGATGATAATAAGACATAAAATTTAGTTGAGTTACTTGAAGGGTAACGAAATAATTGTAAATGGGTCTTTAGGATTAAACACGAGTGCAGAAAACAATATTGAAAAATATAAAGCTGGATTCGTGAACAAAATTTTCATTCAAAATGATGAAACTGATTATAAGCAAGCATTATTGTATGAAAGTAGTAAATATTATTATAAAATCTCAAATACTAAAATTAAATAGATGTACAATGATGTTATAAGAATAAAAACGAAAATTAGTAGCAATATAATACTAATGATGAAAATTATAATTTGTATAAAATAAAATTATAAAACTAATAAATGACAATACACCGAGGAAATGCAATTTATAATAATTAACACTGAAATAATATTATTTATTCATGTTTTTGCTTTTTTGTAAGAAAAATAATTTTTTTCATCATTTTAAAATTTGGATTATTGTTTTTTATTTTATACGTAAATTTTGATTTTGATTATATAAAATATAATTTTATTTATTTTATCATTCTAAAATTTAAAGCCACTATTTTTATTTTAAATAATATTTTAAAATAGATAAATAATGTTTTATTTTCAAGATGTATAAATTTATTTATAAATACATCATATTAATATGATATTTATAAAATGATCACTTAAGTAGTCAATAAAAATCACATAATAATATAAACTAAAAATAATAATTTTAAATATGTGTATGAATCAATGCTGATATAATAATAATAGTTAATCACATGGTATTAGTACTAAAAACGTGGAAAAGGGAATTCATTAAAAAAAAAAAAAAAGTGTAATTAGAGCATCTCCTCCATCCAATTTCCGCAAAATTGACGCAGCAGGGCAAGACAGAAGAAGAAAGTGGCCAAAAGGATTAGAAAGTGACAAGGATCGACCTTTGTGTTCAGTTTCTGACTAATCTCATTTCAGTATTGGTTGGAAGCAATGTATCCAATTCCCAAAGCCTGACTAATATCGATTGGGGATGTGATTGTAGGTAATGTAAGAATTTTTTTTATTAATATAATCTATTTCATATTCAGTATTTAAAGTGAAGATTCGAACTTTTATAATTTGATTAACAAAAAATTACTCCCATCCCACATGTGTGAAACTAATGTTGGTATAATAATATTAATGAGTAAGATAGTATTAGTACTGAAAACGTAGAAAAGGGGGTGGTGGTGCATAGTAATTAGAATTTAGAAGGGCATGTAGATAGAAGAAGAAGTGGCCAAGAGGAATTAGAAAGTGACAAGGATTGACCATTTTTGACATTCTCACTCCTCACTCACCACTCGTTAGCAGCCTTTCATATTCATCAGCAGCCAACATGCACTTTACTTTACGACCTTATTTATTTATTTTTTTCATCTCATTATTTTCTTACGTTATCAAAGTCAACAACTTGCAAATGGCAACTAGGAAGCAACAAACAAACAAACTCAATCACAGGACATGGACTGAATCGGACGGCTCAGAACCAACCTGGCCCGCACGTGCGAGCCGCAGGATGGTCTTTTCGCCTCACTTATTACCGCTAATGATGAGAAGAAGAACCAAAAGCAAGAGCATAGGATGGACGGAGTTTGGGTTCAAAGGTTGTTTGTTTGAGTTAAACACGACAAACCCAAATACGTGTGCATTACAACTCCCTCTCCCTCATCCTCTTCTCTCTCTCACACACCCCAATTTGGTTGGATTCCCAGCTTTTTAGATTCCTTTACCGTTTTTCCCAATTCCAAACTATTCCCTAATCATCGTCTTCCATTTCACATTATAATAAATAATTACACATGATAAAATATTAAAATTCTTTAACACAATTAAATCGGGGTGGGTATAAAACCGGGAACTGGAATGGGAACGATACGGGGCGAATAAGTATATACTCATACCCATATCCGGTTTAATATATCAGGTAAACCCAAATACGTGTGCATTACAACTCCCTCTCCCTCATCCTCTTCTCTCTCTCACACACCCCAATTTGGTTGGATTCCCAGCTTTTTAGATTCCTTTACCGTTTTTCCCAATTCCAAACTATTCCCTAATCATCGTCTTCCCTTTAAAGGTCAGGTTTTTTTTTTTTGTTTTTTGTTTTTTGTTTTTTGTTTTTTGTTTTTTTTCTGTTGTTCCATACCCCAACTTCCAAACTTTTCTCCTTTTCTTATCATTATTGGCTTGGTTATTTGATTATTTGAATATATATTATTACTGTGTTTTGTTTGTACTACTTGATATATATAATAATCCAAATTAAAACTTGCTTGTTTTATGTAAAGTAAAAAGATATTTAATTTTATTTTTCTTAATATCACCATAATTAAGTTCATTAATTGAATTATTAAACAATATATTACTCCCTCCGTTTTTTTTTCATAGTCGTTTTGTCAGAGTTTGTTATTTTTTTTTCATTGTCATATTACTAAAATCAATGAATTATTAATTTTTTTCTTCCATTTTTACCCTTGATAATTAATACATATTTCCTAAAAAATGTGTGTATTTATTTTTAATATCTACCTAATTTTTCTCTAACTACTCATATAAAGTTAATGTGCATTTATAAGAGCAATATGTTCCCAACAAAATACTATAAAAAAATAAAAAAAAGGGACAACTATTTAATGAAGTAGTTCAACAGTCTAAAAAATGCAAAAAAAAAAGAAGGGTAAAATAGGAAAGTAAATAATAAATATTTTTAAAAACTAAAATATCAATGATTTCCTTAATTCCCGTGCAAAACCTTAAACGACTATGAAAAAAAAAACGGAGGGAGTAGCATTCATTATAAAAGAAAACAGTAGTTCAAAATATTAAATGTTTTATTAATTAAAGCATACGATTTTACTAATTAATGAAATATTAAATATTTATTTAATATGTTGAATAAGAGTAAATGTTTTATGAATTAAAGCCTTTAATGTTAATAGTAACAATATTAAATGAAAGTAAAATAATGAATGATTTAATTTTCTACAGTATTTCTATTCACTACCAGTACATCTTCATAATAGTGATTAATAAATGAGAGAATATCCCTTCAAAAAAAAAAAGAGTACATATTTTTTCATTAAAATGGTGATAAATGTATATTGGTAATATTAATCCTACTATATAGTTGTATTACTCTATAATGAGAAAATAAATATTTAAAAACATGGTTTGAATTTTTTTAAACATATATATTTAATCTTTATGATACATGAAAAGTAAAATGATTAATACAAAGATATTATTATAAGAGGATTTATAATTATTTTATCTTCAAATAGAATGGGTAAGTTAATGGTAACGTAAAATAAAGTAAAAAGAATGCATCGAATAAAAAGAAAACTGAAAAAGAGGAGAAGAATGATTTGCACAAAGATCAAGGTTAATTAGCAGAGGTTAGTAGAGAAGAGGAGCGCGTGAAGGAAAGCGCGTGTTGAGGTGAAGGGGAGCATCGGAATCTCTTACAAAAGTCCAACGTCATCAATCGACATTAGACCGAAGTGGACAACACCCTCCGGACAATGTCATGTTTTATGTGTGACTGTGAGATACTCTCTCTTTTACGAGAAATTCTTTTATCAAATCAAATCAAATAGTATTACATCCCATCTAATAACTCTAATTTTCCACTTATCAAATATTTCTTTTATTTTTTTTATCTTAGTTTCATACAATAATTTTAAACTTATAAACCAAAAAATAAAAAATTAATTTAAAAGAAAATGAAAAAAGTAATGAAAATATAGTAATAATTATGGTGGAAGAGATGGTCAAATTTGTTCTCCTTGTCTATCACGTGACATAGAGAGTGACAGGAACACGCAGTTCAAGAGAAGAGACCGACCCCATTGTGAAGAAAGAGTCAAAACAAATAAAATAGTAATAACCCAACCCAACCCCAATGTCTTCTCTCTCTTTCACTTTCTATTCACGCTTTCTAATATCTTGTTCCGTGTGGTAGCATCATTGCAATAGCCAAGAGAAGGGAAAAGTGGGAACACACAGAAAGAGAGAGAGAGAGTGTGTGTTGTTTCTCTCTTGAGCTCATAGAGAGAGAGAGAGAGAGTGTGTACGTTACATATATTAGTAAGAATCTTAAGAGATAGGATAGGAGTATATAAAGAGATAGCATTGCGTGAGAGATGCAGCAGCACCTGATGCAGATGCAGCCCATGATGGCAGCTTACTATCCCAACAACGTCACCACTGATCACATTCAGCAGGTCCGTTTCTCTCTTTCTCTTCTTCTTCTTCCTCTTCTTCTTCTCCCTTTTGTTTTCTCTCACCATTGCTTCTCTTGTGGGTCTTCTCTTCCACCTTTAGCACCTCTTCCTTTTGCTAAATACCTCATCTTCTGCTTCTGCTTCTGCTTCTTCCTTGTCATCTTCTGCTGCCCCTTACGTATTTCTTCATACTGCTTTGCCTTTTTGCGTTTCTCTCCACATGTGCTGTCTCTCACCTTTTATGACACCTGCTTTTCTCACCGCTCAGATCACATTATCTTTCGAGATCGATCGCAACCCTTAGCTTCTCTCTATCAAACGTACCAACGCTTTAATGCACTTGCTTCCTTTACTTGCATCCCACTTTCAGACTTGGGATTAATTGCATGTGTTTTTCCTCTTATTCTTTCTCCTCTATTCATTTTTTGTTGCATCATGGGGAACATTTATTAAATCGGGAAATCTTTCGTTTGATTAATATGGTGCACTTCTACTTCCTTACCCAAATGGTAACGTAATTAAGACAAATTAAGTTTCAGATCAAAGTAGAATAAAATTCACATACCTTATCTATTACTATATCTTATCTAATCAACTTGAACTAATCTCTTGCTTGTTTTCTAACTTTCTAAAATCTACATGCATCATATAGTATTTTTTAAGGAAAGACGTTTTGTTGCTCCCCCTTCCATTACTTAATATTTTCGCAGCATTTAATTATATGACATTATGATGGTGTTGATCCTTTGATTACCTTTTTACCCCTTTTTTACAAGCAGTACCTGGATGAGAACAAGTCCTTGATTCTGAAGATTGTTGAAAGCCAGAATTCTGGCAAGCTGAGCGAGTGTGCCGAGTAAGTATTAGACTAATTAGTGTTTCTCATTTCTTAATTTTTTCTCGACCATAATGTCTCCATCTGCGGGCCTAGTTGGCAGGGTTATTTATACTTCCACATTGATAAATAGGTTCAATTCAATCAACGATAAAATAACCTTAACAACTAGATTGGGTGCTGCACCACCAGGGAATTTTTCCCAACCCACTACCATATGTAACTACAACGGTAGGTAAAAATCAATCTTGTCAGCTAATTAACGGATGGAATTTGAAATAGTGTGACAGAAGAATATGGCTGATTCTGCGTCACAATAAAACTTACCATGGAATTGACTTGGTACGTACGGCCTCTGTTGCATTTCCAGGCCCATTATGTGGCTCCTATGAGGATAACATTAGGAATGTTGAAAGTAATTTTTAAAATACTTCATTATGAAGCATTTTACCCCCGGAATCTCTATAAAATTTGATATCATCTAGTATTATTTGGGTGAATGTATTGATATTCATTCATTAAAACAAAATGCTACGTACATGACAGTTATTAGAAATTTCTATTTTCAAATATATATTTGAATTGAAAATAAATCTGCTGCCATTTATGGTTTTCTTGCAGAGTTTGGTTACAGATGCTACATACAAAATTATAATTTTATTTTTTTTTACAGTTTTCTATAAACTAATTTGTGATGTTCATGACATCTAATCCTTTCTGAATTGAAGCTCAAGGTTATCTTGTTTGATTATGACCTGACATCTTTCATATAACTTTTTCAGTTCTCACATTAAATATCAAAGAGAACAATCCTTTCCAAACACTCACCCTTCTCCGGTTCACTGGTTTTCTCACATTGCTACCGACAGCACAGAAAAACTATTTTGCAACTCATTCTTTTGATTCAAATGTGAATTCTATGCTTCAGAAGATTCCTTTTCTGGCAACTGGACAGTCCCCAGTTGTTTACGTTGTTGTGATGTTTGAAGTGAAAAAAAAAAGAGGAGAAATCATTGAAAATACTTTACTTTAAATGGTTTATTGAAATTTTGGTTTTGGATATAGAGCCGAATGATGTCAATATGTGTAGCTGGCCTCATTTAATGAAATAAAGTTGGTTGTTGTATGCAGTTGGAAGTAATAAAGTAATGTGTGGGTTTACTATTCATCTAGGAAGGTTTCTTGTGGAAATCATAGTTCCAAAGGCTTGGATATACATAGGGAGACATAAATACTCCCAAACATCTTGTATGCTAGTGGGTCTAATTGTTAAATATGTAACATACAACCTTTCACTTGTTTTCTGTTTTCACCTAACTACAGAAGTTCTTTAATTGTTATTCCATGAGATAATATGTAAGCTTCTATGACCAAGTGCTTTAAAGTTTGAAAGTTAAATTTCAATGTAAGATAGAACATGTGTAGTTGTGCATTTTTTTATCCTCGAAGCATAGGTCATGTTAGATCTAATATAAAATCACCCGGGACTTCACCCAGTAACTCAAGCTATTGAAATTGAAAACGGTACTTTTTATAATAAGGAAAACTTACCTTACAGAACTATATGGTACCAAAGACTAAGACTCTCTTAATCCCATATCAGCTAATTAACCTTTGGAGTTGATGTTAGACCAAGTTCATTCTCAAAAATTTTCAGGAACCAAGCAAGGCTACAGAGAAATCTCATGTACTTAGCCGCAATTGCCGATTCTCAACCCCAACCACCCACCATGCCTGGTCAGGTACATGTATATTTCACTAACAGTCTTTTAAAATATAAGTTAAAAATAATTTTGAGAATTTTTCTACCGAAAATAAAAAGTATTTTACAGTAGAGAATCTCTTAAAAACAAATATTTATAAGTTTCTATCTAAATTGTAAGTATTGCAATGATCTTTATCAATTTCTAACCCTTCCTAACCAATTTCACTACTAATGTATGGATCTGATGGTGCAGTACCCTCCCAGTGGGATGATGCAGCAAGGAGCACACTACATGCAGGCTCAACAAGCGCAGCAGATGACACCGCAGCAGCTGATGGCAGCGCGGTCCTCCCTCTTGTACGCGCAGCAGCCATACTCGGCCCTTCAGCAGCAGCAAGGCATGCACAGCCACCTCGGCACAAGTTCAGGACTTCACATGATGCAAAGTGAAGGCAACAATGTGAATGTGGGGTCAGGCAGTTCATCAATAGGTGGTTCTGGAGGGTTTCCTGACTTTATCCGCGGCTCCACAGGGGAGGGTTTGCACAGTGCTGGAAGGGGCATGATTGGAAGTAGCAAGCAGGATATTGGTGGTTCAGGTGACGGCAGAGGGGGAAGCTCTGGTGAAGGCGGTGAAACCCTTTACCTCAAATCCGCTGATGATGGAAACTAGTAGCACCTAAATGGCTAAAATCACTGCTAGCTTTTGTTAGTTCATTAGTTAGGAGAACTAGGCAATGATATCAAGGGTAAGTAGCTAGGTGAAAAACATGCTGCTGCTTATATAATGTTTTGTTTATGATCTTGTGCTTGAGGCAAACCCTTGCCTTGATGTTTCTACAGTTCTAATAACATAGCACATCATCTAGTTCGTTTTTGCTAAATTAATTTGTGGTCCCATAATATGCTGGTTCCTTCACAAGTTCCAAAGCGTTGGTTTCATATCACATATTAGATTCGGTTATACAATTATATTATACCACAATTAACCTCCAGGCAAGCTTGTCTTTAATTAAACTGTTCTTGTATTAATCGGCATGGATATGATCGTGTTGTTTAATTTGAGTTAAATTTAAAAGATTCTTTGAGGAGCATAAAGTAGGTTATCAATTTTGCTTAATTATACTATTTCTTTGGACGAAGAAATTGAGCAGTTAGTTGAATTTGTGTATGGATTGTTCTTCCCAACCGTAGTTGTGTTACTCATAGTTTTAAAAATCGGACCGGTCATCGAACCGGTTAAGGTATTGGGTCAGTGGATCAAAGGTTGAACCGGTGGGTCACTGGTTGAACCGCATGACTCGATTTTTATTTATTTTTATTAAAAAATATTCATATTAAATATATTTATACTTATAAATTTTAATAAATTCATATCTTATTTTAAATTTAAATTTTTCTATCTTATTTAAAATTATTTTTATTTTTATTTTATAAAAAAATACATAAAAAAATTACATGTTAAACGGTATATTAATACAAATTAAAAATATAAATAATATATACATATATAATATGCTTGCAATTAATATCACAAAATAATATATATAATATTACATAGATATTGAATTATTAAATATATAATTTAAAATTAATAATATACTATAAAAGTTATTTAAGTTGTATATATTGCAAACAAATATATTAGAACAAGTAATCATTGTTATATTTAATAAGACTCCTTATTTTTTTATTTATGTATTTTTAGCGTGTTTGATTTGATGTTTTGATTATTGTGTTTTTAGACAAAAAGGTTTAAAATACTTTAATCAATTCAGTACGTGGAAATTTTCAATAGAACATAAAAATTTAACAAGTTTTATATAAAACAAGGCTAAAAACTTAATTTGGTCCTTTATAATAACTTTTTGTTTCAATTTAGTCCTATTTTAATTTTTGGTTTCAATTTGGTCTCAAACTAATTAATTAGTTTTAATTTAGTCCCTAATAAATTAATTGGTTTCAATGTGGTCCTTCCGTCAAAATTTCTTTAACGTCGTTAAATATTGAGGACGTGGACGCCAGTTGGTGCTGATGTGGATTGATAATAGGCAGGCGGATGCCAACGTGGATTGGGACGTGGATGCGTTTGTATTTTGCTTCTTGTTTATGTTTTTGTGGATGGGTAGGTGTTCATTATTCTCATTTAAGGTTTCTTTGTCCACCCCCAGTTCTTCTTCTTTTGTTATTGTTCTTCTTGTTGTTGTTGTTCTTGTTCTTCTTCTTCTTGTTGATAAATTAGTTTTTGTTGTCCCCATGTTGTCATTTGTAGGATTTGAAGTTAGGGTTTACTGTTGAAGAATGCAAACGTCCCGGATGTCTGCGAATTCACGCCCAATGAACTCCACGAATTCAAGTGGGTTTGAAAGTCATGGTAGTAGGTATTTTGTTCCCTATTGCCATTGCGGAGAGGTTGCTGTGTTGCGAACAACAATGACATCTGCCAATGCTGGTAAAAGATTCTGGGGTTGTCCAAATTACAAGGTATGTAATGTAAATTAATTAAATTAATTTAGCCCTAATTGCTGATTTTGTGGTTTTGTTTATTTGGTTTTAAAAATTTGTAGTTTGGTGATGCTGAACAACAAGGATGCAACTTTTTCAAGTGGTCTTTTGAGGAATATGTGGATGAAAGGGATTTGTTGGTAGCTAGGCAGAAGAGAAAGATGAACAATCTTCAGAGTTCTTTGAAGTCAATAAGATGGTGGATAAAGTTGTTGATAATTGTTGTAATTTTTTTGTTGTTGTTGAATTTGGTTTTAATGTATGTAATTTGTAACAACTTGGTTCAATTTGGAAGGGTGTTTTATTTGAAGTAGGGAAATATGGTGTTTTGTATTTAAAGACACCTTTTGGGATATTGTTGATGGTTATTTTTGTAATGTTGGTTTAATTGCGATGGAATTATCAAGAGTTAGTAATGATGGTATTGTAGCATTGCCTGAAGTTTAAATTTAATGGTTTGTTTTTAAGATTAAAACCATCAGTGCAGCAAGTATGAATGTCAAAGCATACCAAAATTCATAAACATACATATATTAAGGTCAAAGTTTTTAAAGACTTTAATACATATGGTATGAAATTTGAAGGAGTTAAATATATATGCTTAGAAAGTTGAAAGACTAAACAAGAGAAAATGATAACATAAATTGCTTGTGGTGAAGCAATATGATTCAGAGAAATTACTGGGGAGGAAAATCATCTGGATAACGCTGAAGGTGCCAATTATACATCCTATCAACCATATAATTATAGTGTTGTTGACGTTCATCCATCTCTTGTATTCGATGATCCATAGATTGAATGGCAGATAGAATATCAGCATTGTCTACTTGTACATGCAGTTGTCTTGTGAAATGTTGGTCCTCTGTCTCCTCTTGGTCTGCTTCAAGTGCTACGTCCTGAAGAACAGGTTGTTGTTGGGGTACATCAGTCAATGACTGCAAGGGGAAACACTAGGTGGTTTCATCCTATACTGTATAGTGTCGGTTTGACAGTAAGTGGTTCACTCCTGTCTGGCTAACAATGAAATAAAACCTGTCATCATTGTCCTTAGTAATACAGTACATTGCATAACAAGTATTAAAATTAATCCTTCTAGGAGGTCCGATATCCTTATAACAGAGGGAATCACGGGCGTGATTGTGAATCACGGCCGTGATTCTCACGGGTCTGGAGGGTTGAAGTTAACATGTTTTTATTGACTTATAACAGAGGGAATCACGGACGTGATTGTGAATCACGGCCGTGATTCTCACGGGTCTGGCGGGTTGAACTTAATATGTTTGTGATTATGACGGGTTGGACTTAAAATGTTTCTTTATTATGGCTTGGACTTAGTTAATATTGTCAATTACCACACTTAGTTAATAGTGTCATTTACCAGACTTAGTTAATAGTCTCATTTACCACACTTTGTCATATTGTTTGGCATTCTGTTATTCTTGCATTTGAAAAAACTATAAAAAAAAATGATCATAATAATAGCGTATTTCATTTGTTGAAATATAAGTAGCCAAATGTTGTAAATCACAATAATAATAGTCTCCTACATTAAGTATTGTCATATGATGACCAATTAATATTGTGATGCAAAACATAATCTCAAAAGTCTGCTACATCATAAGTCACCAATACAGTCTAAACACAAAAAATTTTAAACCCTAAACACTAAAACCAACAAGCAACAATCTTCAACTTTGTCATGGTTTCCAGTGTGGTCGTGCTTTCCTAGGCTTCAACTTCTCCCTGGGTTGGGCCGCCTCAGATGCTTGTGTGGGTTGAGATACCTGGGTGGGCTGAGATGGTTGTGTGGGTTGAGATACCTCGATGGGCTGAGATGGTTGTGTGGGTTGAGATACCTGGGTGGGCTCATTTGTATGGGTGGGGTGAGATACCTGGGTGGGTTCAGATACATGGGTGGGCTCAGATGGTTGGGTGGGGTGAGATACCTGGGTGGGCTCAGATGGTTGGGTGGGGTGATGTGTGTGAATTGGGTTTTCCTTACAGGTTGATTTGTTATGGCCAAAACTCTTGCACCTACTGCACTTTCTCCTACATCCCCTCCTTGTCAATTCAGTGTCATCCTTCTTCAGTTCCCATGGCTCCAAATTCCTTCTTTTCTTAGGGCGTCCTGGCATTTTCTTACATGGTGGTGGAAGAACATTAGGGCACCATGTCTTGGTCCAGAGTTGCTGACCATTTACTGGATATATCATTGATTGATATACAACTTCATATGTTGCCCTCTTGTAATATTCTGGCACAAAAACCTTTGGATCCAAATTCATATACCTCATACATGATATAGCATGGCAGCAGGGCAACCCAGTCAACATCCATTTTCTACAGCTGCATTCCTGCACTTGCAAGTTGATAGTATATTTATCTCCTATCAAGTTGACATTTTTGACCTCAAAAACTTGCTCTCCAGCCCAACTGAAAATAATATGTTAACTCATTATAAACCAATAATGGGTTAATCTAAACAATTCAAACCATGTGAAATATACCTTGGTATCCACCATTTGCTCAAATTACTTTCCTTTTCAATCTTCTTTAATATTTTAGGAAGAATATCTCCTTGATGTAATGTGATGTTTTTCCTATTTTTAGCCCATCTGTTCATCAAGTACAATCGCATGTCTTCTAACATGGTAACAATAGGTTTTTCTCTAGCATCAACAATGACCGAGTTAAATGCCTCACTCATGTTGTTAACCAAAACATCACATTTAGGATTTGGCTTGAACCTTGACTTGCTCCAATACCTGAAACCAATAACATATAAACAATTATTTGAATAAAGGCATAAAGTACAAGTTATGAAACAAAGCATACCTAGGGGGAATTTGAATTAAATGTTTGAATGCTTCAACATCCACTTTTTTAATCTCATGCATTTCTCTTTCCCATGCTACAGGATATGTGGCTGTAGCTGCCTTCCACATCAAATCCTTTAATTTTTTCCCAGGAAACTTCTTCCTAAAATTATTGTAAAGGTGTCTAACACAAAACCTTTGATCTACACCGGGCAACAATTCATTGATTGCTGGCAGCAACCCCTGCAAAATGAATATTACACACACAATCAATCAATATAGTCATTATGAACTATAAATTTTAAAAATTTTCAATTTTACCTTTTGTTGATCAGAAATGAAAGTGTAATTGACACAAGCTGAAAATCCTCCAAGATCAGAAATTAGGAGGCGTAAAAACCACTCCCACGACTCTTTAGTCTCGCCTTCAACAACTGCAAAACATATTGGCAGCATTTGCTCATTTGGATCTCTTCCAACTGCTGCCAATATTTGGCCACCATAATAACCCTTTAGAAAACATCCATCTAACCCTATTATGGGTCTACACTTTAAGAAACTTTCTTTGCAACCTTGAAAACAGATATACATTCTTTGAAAGGTTGGAAGTACTCTACTAGGCCCTTCAACATTATTCTCACAATCTTCATTGCCATCAACCTTCACCTTCACTGTTGAACCTGGATTAGATCTGATTAGCTCATGACTGTAGTCATAAATCCTCTTGAATTGTTCTTTGAAAGACCCTTCAACATAACTCTTTGAAACCTTCCTAGCCCTACATGCCATGGCCTTAGAGATGCTAGCATTCCATTTTCTCTGCACTCTTTCTCTGATATCATTCAATTTTAGTTTTGGATTCTCCTTCATAGTTGTTTTAAGTTTGTCACTTAACCACTTAGTACTCAACAAAGTCATCTTGTGCTCCCTACTACATGTATGTATATCAACAATCTTTCTTAGTTGCCAACTTTCTTCATAAGGTACTTTGGCACAATATGCTACCCATGGACATCCTTGTTTGCATATCACCTTTATCCTTCTTTTATCATTTTTTTTATATTTTAAATTTCTCCCCGAATGAACAGCATATGTTGTAATTGCCTCTTTAAACTTTTCTCTACTCACAAAATACAAGCCCAGTTCCCACTTATAATCTTCCATATTTCTAGGCATATTAAAACATGGATACTTACTTGAACCAATAGTATATTCTTCATCACTACTGTCATCCGGGCCACTTACTAATTCTTCCGATTCATATTCTTCTTCAGAAATACCCCTACCCATGGAATGGGTTTTTTTTCCTACTCCACAGTTGTCAGGTTTGAACAAGTCATCATCTGAATCATCATTACCAAACCCATCAATATCGTCATCTGTAGGGTCTATAGTAGCCTCAACAGTCTTCTTAGGCCTACCTCTCTTCTTACTGCTACAACTAGGTTGTTCATGTACTGGTTCTGGGACAGGTATTTCAAATTCATTCAATATATCTAAGTCACCACTATTACTAGCCTGTCTTACTTCTAAAGGTCCTTCAAACCTATCAACTGAAGAATTCTCTCTACCTTTAACAGGTACCTCAAATAATTCAATATCTGAAAGCTCTTCTTCATCAGTATCACCCAAATGTACTGAAGGATAACTATCTTCAGTTTGTTTGTCAGAAACAACAGTCTCATGCAAACTCTCAACCCTACCTCCATACTCATCAACAACACCACCATTTGGCACACTCTCATCAGCAAAACCACCCCCTACCTCGGTCTCATGATCAACAAAAGACCCAAGCCCATTGTCATCAGCCACAGGCCCATCATTTCTTACATCAACAACTAATGGTAAACTTTGTATAATTTCAGCTTGAGATGTTGGATGTTCAACATATAATCTAACATTTCCAAACTTTCTTGCTATCCTTATCATTTCCATGGCCCCATTATCATCAGACAACAATTTAAGCCCATTCTCAAAATCTGGCTCACCCACAAAATACCACATCTTATCCTCTATAATATATCCCATTTCCTTTAAAATACCCAATATTTCAAAGTAAGACCATTTATCAGGGTCACAGGACCATGTCAAATCATCACCCACATAATCTAACTTCCCTTTATTTACAAACTTCCCCCCATGATGGACAACTACTTCAAAATATGAATCCATATCAGGCAACTCCTATAAAAATTCACAAAACACACATTTTAATATTAACCTATTGTAGTAATACATTTTTTTCCAAATATATCAATTTATTTATTTAAAAATTAACACAAACATATTTAATTAATAGAAACAATGAAATATTCAAAACAAATTCATAACATAAATATGCATACATAACAACCAACACTTTTGTAGCCCAACATAGTCAAAAAAGGAACATTATTGGGCCAACATATGCAAATAAATTAGGGTTTGATGTGTCACTGGCCCAACATATGCATTTTTACGGGTCAACAATGTACAACTCAGTGAGGCCAATATATGCACAACACACAACAAGATTTTTTCATACAGGAACCAAAATAAACCACAAATTGCCACCAACACATTCTTTGGGACCACACCAAAACCAACGAACCCAGTGTTTGGGACCACACCAAAACCAAAATCTCCCCAATAAACATCAAAACGCAACTCATAACCCAGTCCCACTCTTACCCGTAGCCCTAAAGTGAACCCAACAAGACCCTTTAATCAAAAAAACCATAAACAAAGGACTTACCCGATTAGAACAACACAAAAACGTCGCTTCTTCTTCTTCAATGCATGCGCCTTCTTCTTCTTCTTCAAAACCTTAAGAAAAACTTTATCTCCAAACAAACCAATGAATCAGACTTCTCTCGTTTTCTCTTCTCTCTCGCGCGATTTTGGCACAAAAGATACTCTTTCCACGTTGGAAATCCACGTCAGCATTAATTACAATTATCACATTTTAATTTTTTGCCACGTGGAAAAAATCCAAACGCCGTTAAACAAATTTTGACGGAAGGACCACATTGAAACCAATTAATTTATTAGGGACTAAATTGAAACCAATTAATTAGTTTGGGACCAAATTGAAACCAAAAATTAAAATGGGACAAAATTGAAACAAAAAATTATTATAAGGGACCAAATTAGATTTTTAGCCATAAAACAATGTAGTTAATGTGAATAAATTTGCTTAATTTTAAAAATAAAGAGTAAATTGATAAAAATTAAAACCTAAAATAATTTGCGTATTGCTTTGGTTAAATTTAATAGAGTGCAAGTCATTTGAATGTTATGCTATCATTTAGTTAATAGAGTACAAGTCATTTGAATGTTATGCTATCATTTTGTATTGTGTTTGCGCGAGGAAATAACACTGAGCTAAATTAATTTATTTAACTTTTATTACTGAGTGCGCGGATAATGATATCCAATTCAAGTGCCGAATATGTATTTATCTTAAATATTCACAAGAACAGCATTGACCCTCAGTGGTAATCTTACCTAATTTAAATACATTTTTTTATAAAGATATATGTAGTCTTAATTTTTTTTTCCCGATTTCATATGCTATATTTTTTTTTTTTGGGACAGTGCATATGCATTTATGCATGCCCTTTTCTATTGTTTTTAAATTATAAATCTTGTTTGCTAGATATGTGAAAATATATCACTATTTGGGACAATGCAAGTATATCTTGTTTGCACAACTTACATTCACTGGGTGAAGGGGCTTGAATCTTAATCATTTACTATAATTTTGCTTATTAATTGTTTTATATATTTTTCAAATCTATTTTCCTGTTTTTGTACAATGATCTATTTACCTATTGAAAGCCATCATTTTCTTTATTTTCCGCACTAATTGCATATAAAAATCAACTTCATTAGTCTAGGTGGATTCAAACATATTCATTGCTGTACTCAAATTATTTTCTGTAAAGGTAAGAATAAAATTTATTGGTTTGACACCCATCACCTACTTTGGTAGGAAATGGAATTGAATACTCATAATTCACTCGTGGTTTTGCATTTACCTTTTTTTACGTCAACCATAATTCTCTTTCATTCTCAAAAGTATTATACGAGGTTCCTCTTATAAACTTCTTTTTTAAAAATTAGCATACAAAAATGCCTTACACTGTTACACACATCTTATGTTCCACACTTTATCTTCTTCGAAAGAACATCACTACTCTCAAGAAACTATGCAAAATCCCAACGTTACCAAATAAAACTTAATTAACAAATAAGTGCTTCAATTTCTCATTATCTCGTCTATCCATGTTTTGGGTGTTGCTAAATGCTTCCTGTGAGAAAGATATGTTACCTCCTGAATTAAACTATTGATGAGAAAGTTTAAGATAAATTTTCTGGCTTATGGATTCAACTCAGTTTCGCTTCCAGCGTAGGTTTTAATTGAATTGGTGTGTTAGATATATGTGGAAATCAAATTAGCCGTTAACTTTTTTTGTCCCTACAAAACCATACTTTATGTGGGAGATAATCATGCTCAAGAAAGGCTGTGAATTTTTTATATCACTGTTTTTTTTAATGGACATGGTACAAGATTATAATACTATTGGTTAAACTTAAAATAATATTTATTTTTCCTAGTTGTCACCGTTCAATTAACGAGACAGACAGACATATAAATCAAAATAGAGAGAGAGAAGAATAGCTTTTGTAATCTAGATATAAGAACGGGCTTTTTCACCAAATTAGTATATAATTTTCTTTTCAAATTATGTAATTTATAAAATTTTATAGTGTTGGTGTATCTGGTACTTATGATAAGAAACTGTATCTCGCAGTAACTATATATTTTTAAAGTTAAAAATGAAAAAAATGGTAGACATATATATCTAAACCACCACTTGCAATATTTTTATTTAACTTGGGGTATGCATGGTTATCTGTGACCATGAGTACCCAATTCAATTTTAAAAACAAAATGGGTCGAGTTTGGTTCACGGATTCAATCCACTTGTGTTTATGTTAATATGATTGAATTAAGTATGGACTTTAACAATTTTATACTGCTCAACGTGAATTGATTAAAAAGAATTTTAAAAACATCAATATAATATATTTAGTCGTCATAAAAATGAAAAACATTTGATCTGATCTAATAAATGTACTTCATAAAATAATTTTAATTTTTGAACATATTATAAATTTCCTTTAAATTTTCTTTTACATTATTAACTAATTAAAATTCATGTATATAATTAACTTTTAAAATGTTTACTATAAAAAATAGCAATTTTATTATGCATAACATTTAATTATCAATGCAAAAATCTTTGCACTATTAATATATTTAAATTAATAATATTAATTATTACCGAATACACTTTCATCTCTTCTATGCGAAGGCATGATTCATGTGAAAGCAATTTTATATTTTAATTTTAATCAATAAATGTTTTGGAAAAAAATGTGAAATTATTTCATGTAAATTGACGCATTTTTTCTTCAAATAAATTATTACATGGTTCAAGTTAATCAATCTTTATACTACATTTTTTTTCCGAGTCACTAATATGTGTCTAACGTCTTTTCAAATTAATATATACAAACATATTAATAAATTAAGTTATCATATTTATACAATCTATTCTCTAATTCTATTTGAGATTCGGTCGGACAATATTAGATGTGACATTCTTCTACTATTTCCGACATCTATTTATTAATGTGTTTTATATATAATAGAGATTAACCGTAAGCCACGTAATCTTATATCATGTAATAATTTATCCTCTCTTTGCATTAAATAACACTTCTAAATTAAATCTTTTTTTTAAAAGAATGATATATATCTATCTGAAGTGCAAAGATTTTCAACTGGTGTCATTTTGTTTTCTAAGTTAGATCCATTTCCATTTTTTCTTTCCTTTTTCTTTTACCCAACTGTCGCGGACCATGAAAATTGAAGTCTCCCTTATAGGAAAAAATCCAAATCCCCATGAGAGATAAAACAAAAAAGTTTATAAGATTATCTTTCTAATTTATTTTATAGAATTGAGTTAAATTCCGATCTACCTTTTTAATTAGAGTCATATAGATTTAATATATATACCAAATTTAATAATATTCAAAGTGAGAAAGTTAATAAAAAAAAAGCGCAAAAGGTGGGAGGCAACTCTATCGATCCTAATACCTCCGATCTACTCAGCTTCTGATATTCCTAACCCTTTCGTCACAACCGTGACCAATTCTTCGTAGCAATCGCTCCCTTATCCATCTTTCTCATCATGACATGATTGAATCCACAATTAATTTGCACATTTTTTAAAACCGCTTCTCCAACTTGAATTTTATAACATATACAACCTACCCTAGTCTGATAAAATATTTATAAACTATAATAAATCAGTAATTCAGAAAGAAAATTACTAAAAAAAAGCCATAAAAAATCTATTGCCAAAATAAGGACATTGTTAAAGACTCCACGCCGATCAATAATATAAATCTCGCCACTGTTACTGAATTGTTATAGAGTCACAACTATAAAAGAAATGTGTTGGAGATCTAAATCAACCAATAATATAAATAAATAAAAAATGATGTATGCAAGAAAGAAGATATGGAAGGCAAAGGAAACTAATCAGGTTTACAACAATGAGGAGAAAAACGAAGGGTTCCCGCATGGACTCTGCCAGTGGAGGCAGTAGCAATCAAAGCATGATATATTATTAGTCGAACATATACTAACTAATTAATATATATCATACAAGTACACAGGGTGACGGCAAAACAGAACGTGCAAGTAATTCTTTCCAGAAGTAATCTTCATCGAACTCGAGAGAAGAAGTAATCATCGACATGTCATTGTAATGACATGAACCATTCCCATCTTCACTTGCACTTAGATCTCCACTTTGATGCATCAAAATAGAATTACCCTTATGCGGGGTTTGAACCACCTTGTTGGAGTCCTTGCCCGTGAGTTGTTGAACCACTGATCGGAACTCAGAAGCAT